TCTTCCTTCTCAGACTCGCTCTTTCAATGAAAGACTCTAACCTACCTTAGAGACACTGGCACTGACTGACCCCTCTCCCTCAGCCCTGACATCCTTCCAGGCAACTACTGAGGCCTGCAAATGCCATTTGTGATACATTGGGGCCCCACATCTCAACTGGTTTATTTCCTTAACTTTCTAACTGGTCTTCTGCCTCCAGTCACTCCCCAGCCAAGATCATCCTGCGTGCCACTGACCGAATTATCTGACTGCACTTCCCTTGTCATGGTGCTTCTCTGACTGAAAACCTTGGCTGGCTCCCCATTGCCTTCAGCCTAATTTTCAAACTTCTTAACATAGAATTCAAATTTCTCTCAGTCTAATTCATCTCCCACTACACTCCCAGGCATCTTGATCTTCAGCCACAGTGGGCAGTCACTGCTTCTCACATACAGGGCACTTCCTCCATACTTTCCTTCCTGCCCTTGCCACATCATTTCCACAATTCTGGTGGTCCTTCTAGGTTTGTCTCAGATGTTACTTATCTTACTTCTTCCATCTGCCCCTAGAAAGAATGAAGGCTGCTTCTCAGTCCTCCTGTAGACCTTGTAATGTTCCACCAAGATACACGTATGTCCTTAATGTGTAACTGTCCCCTGTGCTTGAATTGCAAGTAGCTTAAGGGCCAGACACATCCCCTTAGTCTCATTTTATTCCCCAGCAGATAATGCACACAAGTGGGATGTAAGCTTCTGGAAAGACAGCAGCAATCTTTCTGGCTGGCACATAATAGGGTTTATTGAATATTTGTTGAAGGAGTGAGTAATCAATAAATGTTTGAATTAGTAAGGGCAGAAATGTGAAGTTTGGTACAACCAGTGCACTTCATCCCTTTTGTTGACTGTGTATTCATCACAATCAACTCTGTGGCTGTGGCCTTGTATCTTGTGAAGTAGGAACGGGCTCTTAATAAAACTTAGCTTTCCAAATGTATCCAACTGACTTGATCTTGTTTTATATCAAGGGGCTGGATCACATCACATTTTTGTCTTTAGTTTTCATGATGTGAATTTTGCCTGTGGGGGGAAAAATACTACTTCATCATAATTCTTAATTATACTAGTCACCCCCCTTCCTTGGATATTGAGAATGACAGCTAAATCAAAGGGAAGATTGCATTTAAGGGAAGCTGAATACATATGTGGTTAACAAAACTGCTTTTAAAATCCTTTTCACAGTTTTCTTTATTGGGTATATAGCAACACCTAGTGGCTTTTGGGATTATTTCAGAGACTGTTTCTAGAAACAGCTTCTTGGGTTTTTTCCTTGCTTCATTGAATCTCTGCTTATTTGGCATTTTTTTCCTTTCCTCTTGATTATGAACAGATATCTTTGACTCTTTGTACTTTGTTATATTTAGAAAGTAAGTTGGCTCTAGCAGATAAATGGATGTTGAAGAATTGATGTTTCTCCTGAAAAAGCATGCCCTACCTAATAAGTAATTTAGAACACTGTAAGTACAAACAGCAAGGTGATTTCACAAGGTGTCAATGTCTAGGACCCCCTAATAATGTTACTTCAATAGGAGCCTTTTGTGGGAAATAACCTCTTCCTCCCATGTGGCTATAATCCCAGATTACCAGACGTCTCCGTGCATCAGCCTATGCACAAATATACACACTTGCACTGGATGCCTCATTTATCCAACACTCAGGAATGAATTCTACCTCAGTACATTTTCCATGTCATTGAACCATTTTTACATTTTGAGATTGTAGATGGAAATATGGCTAGCGTGTATCACACGCATTTCTTTTTTTAATAATTATCCTTATCTTGACAACTTACAGTTATCATTATAAATACTAATTACTACATTCAGGAGAAACTTTAGGACTATTTAAATTTTTTTTTAGCTTTTGAGATAATCCACTTTACTATATAACTGGGATTTAAAAATTTTTTGTGCAGTTTTGGAAGATTACTTTACATTTACAGTTATTAAAAAAATACTGACTATTTTCCCCATGGTGTATGATACATCCTTAAACCTATCTTATACCCAATACTTGGCATATTTGTTTTAAATAGACTACAGTGCTTTATAAAACATTTGCGTCTACAGTTTTTCTGTCTTCTCCTTCTGTGTCTCCTTGCTGCTGGCATTGTTTTTTGTTTTTTTGTTTTTGCAACCCTCTTCCTTTTTCTTATCCCACTCTTGGGCCCTTCTGATTTGCTGCTTCTATTCTTCTGTGGACTTAGAGAGTCCAGCAAGCGCATAGCTTAGTAGAAAGCCAGTTCTCCTGGCTCCTAATTCGGTGCTATTTCCATTATTGTACACGGAAGATAGAGGCTAAATCCGGAGTGCTTTAAAGGACGTAACTAGATTTTGAAAGAAGACATTGTCCACTACAGTAAAATGCAGTCTCGGTGGTTCTGTCATTGCCGATTTAACCATTGGACAGCCTTTGTTGTTTGATTCCTGGCCAGGTTATTGAAATTCCTCATATTCACAAAAACAGAGAACTAAGTCAGTCAACAGATACTCATTGCACATCTGCCCTGCATCAGGTGCATGGGAGCACAAACACACGTGTGTAACTTCTTTGATTGCATAGTACAGTTGACATAACATGTAGGAATGCCGATGTTTTGATAATTACTTACATTTGAATTCTCCATACAAGTAAAAAGTTTTGTTTAAGACCATCCATCATAATAATTTGCAGAGGGTCTCATTTAACTTCAAACCTTTATGACTGGATGTGTAAATATGGCCAAATGATCTATAATGGCACTTAAAAGAAAGTTAATTTTTCTTCTTATGGTTAGTATGAACTCTAATTAAGCCATAGAGTAACTAATCTCACAAATGGCAACTTTCTCATGCATCATGAGATCTGAAATAAAAATAATATGTATTATGTAGTGTAGCTACCCTAAATGATAATATGTTTAAATATCTCCATAGATCTCTGTCACATGTACAACCTACATTATTAAAGTTTTATAAAGACACTTCATAATTTTCATTCAGTCCTTGGCTTGATTTTAAGTCAAATTTTGATTATTTACCAAAATATCTAGGGGCTAAACACAGGATTTTTTTTATAAACCAAAGCAATATTGTTTTTTTCATTGTTTAGAAATTACAATATAAAGATATAGTTTGTTTAGTTATTCCTTCCAATAAAAATTTTTTCTGTGGTTATTAATTTTAGGATTTTCTGCCCTTTTCCAGTGCATTTTATGTCTCCTTGGCTTCAAATTCTTAGGGAGCAAATAAAAACTACTGGGCTTTTTGGCATACAACTTGTTAAATAGTCGAGTGACAGTAAGGGAGTCAGACTTTGGCAACCAAACCACAGGTGGCAAATTAATTAAAGCTTCTACACCTTTTCCATGGTGCTTATCACTGAAAGAAGGTGGCCATTACTCTTTCAAATCCAAAGGTGACAATTAAAATTTTAAATGCTTACTCCTGCCCAATGGCCTGTGACGCTGTTAGGGAAACACATCTTCTGATGTCTAATGTCTAATGAAGAGGTTTAATAAGAAACTCTGCTTTTAGGAGCATAACCTGGGTGATTGTCAACTCTTCCCGTAGATTCAGTCACCTAATATAATCACATACAGCTATTAAAAGTACAGTGGAAAAGGCTTAATAACACAGGAAAATCAATGTATTGTTTAAAAAGAACATTTTTGTAACTGTAGTACAACACCTCATTTCTGTTGAAAGAATGATCTACATAACTGGAAGAATATACATGGAATTTAATTAATGGTGCTTCCCTTTGGAAGATAACACTAGATGATTTTTCTTCTGTATTTTTTTTTCAGATTTTCAGTAGTGAACTTATTATTTATTGTCAGAAACATGTTATTTAAAAGTATTTCTAACTTTCATTTTTCCTCTAAAGTGAAAGAACTTTTCCCCTAAGACTCTCTAACCTTGTCATTCAGGAAGACAAGGAGGGGACACACTGGTTTGGTGTTTAGACACATCAACTTTGATTCAGTTAATTCAACAAACACTTGAGTATCTACATTGTGCTCAGGCAATGTTGAGGATTCCACATTAAACAGAGTCCCTGGGGTAAGAGGGACCATAAACACACGTTTATGTGCTGTGGTGGTCAGTGCTAGGTGCCATGAAGATAAAGAGTAAGAAGCTTATTGAGTGTTGGGGAAGGGAGGTGTCATTTACTAAGTTTGGTCCTAAGTTACTTCATGTGTGAAAAGATTAGATCAGAGGAATACTGCAATCCTTTCCTTCTAACATTCTATGACTCCTGAATTACAGTTGGCCACCATAGAAGTGATTATTTCACCCAAATGCAGAAATGGGTCAATTTTAACATTAAGATAAAGAGGAAATGTGTATCTTGAGAAGAACAAGGAATTTAAAAATATCGGTGTTTCTGTAATGATTGTTAATAATGAAAATTGCAAATGAAGATTGTAGGGTACTAAATGTTTACCCAACATAGTAAATAATATACAAGAACACATTATAAAGGAAATTTCTCTTAGGAAAAGAGTACTAAAATTTCTAAGATTGGGGCTTATGTATAAATACATGAAAACCTTGGAAAACAAAAATTTGACATTAGTTATGTTTTCCCAAAAGGTGTGTAATTCTCTGAGCTCATTTTGTGTTTTTACATAGTCAGGTGGGAACACAGCACATGGAAGAAGTAGATATTCTCTGGACTTGGCTGCAGAAAGCCAAGAGATCAAATGGGCATCATTGTAGAAATTTCTCTTTGGTTAACAGTAATTTTTCTGAAATCCTGTCTACCTCCTGCTATACATGGCATTATTTAGCTGTTGAATGAGTAGATAACACTTTTTAAAACTTTGAAGAATATAATTACTTTTTTGTCACAGTATTGCCTCAAATTTGGGAACTCAAAACCATCCCTTCCTCAAATGGAAATGGTTTAGGTGTCATTTGTCTACTATTGTTGTCCAGAAGCTATTCCTGTGGTGCCTCACACCATCTTTCTTTGTTTCAGATGTCCTCTGGCACTTGCAGGCCTGATGTTTCAGAATCTTCTGAATTACGTCAGAAGTCACCATTATTTCAGTTTGCTGAGGTAATATGTTATAGTTTATACTTAATGAGGAAATTGTAAAGTGAGCTTAAATTTGGGCTGATAACAGTAACTGAAAGCAATGAAGAGCTCTACGTACTTAGCTCAAGTAACCATAAATGGGAAAATAGAACCAAATTTTGGGAAAGGTAATTTTGAAACTCTTAAGAGTTTCTTAATTAAGGAATAAGTATATGTTTATAAAGCTTGTTATTAACTTGTTCTAAATACGATGCCACTTAAACCTCATCACTAATTTTTATTCCTGGATGAGAAAGTTAAGAATATAATTGAATTATTGTTAGAACTTTGTCATTTATCAGGTGTTAAATCAGAAGACAGAACCGATACATGGTTATGGGCTGTGTGTTCCTTTTCATTTATTTTAAGTACGCTTTTCTTTTAATTGAAACTTTAGCATGCAGTTGGCAGTTTTCAAAGCCTTTGTCTTGTGTCAAACCTGTTTGGCTGAATATGTCTCTGACATAGTCAGAGATGATGTAGAAGAGCCACGTTATCCTTGATATCAAGTCTAAAGGTGAAGACTGCTTCCCAGAATGTCTGCATTTACTCTAGAACTCAATATGGAGCTATCATTGGTTAATTTTTTCTAAACTTTAAACCACATGGTCTTCCCTTGATCATTTGAATTCTATTTCACTAGACCTTCTCTCACACCGTCGTCCTTCCTAATGTTTGCCCCATGTGTTACCGTTTTGTACAAGGAGAGCATATTTTTAGTTTCAGATTTTTTTCTCCTCTCTAGTGTCCCTTCCTGGTGGTTCTCAGCATTTCATTGGCAGAATCATTTTTCATATTGGCATATTAGGTCATTCCTTTTATGACATTGTTCATAATATGCCTAAGTGCACTGCTGATATCACCAGAATGTTATAATATATATTTGCTCACATAATACTCCTTATCTGTCACATTCCTTTCTGCTCTCTAAGGTGTGCCGTGAATTCCAATTGTTTTGCACATTGTTTCCCCAAGAATTGAATGTAATAGAGAATTTATTCTGCACTCCCTTTACAACAATAGTTACAGACATATTAAGTAATGTTGGTCCCAACTTTGAAAGCAGAGATATTGAATCAGTGATCCCTGAGCCCCTAAAGATCTAGTGAAGTCTCTCGAATTTCACATGAAATTTTGGCTGTATTGACATGTGCATTTTTGTGGGCACTACAGCAAACTGAAGATTCCAAAGAGATCCCTGACCCTAATCTAATATTTCTTCAGGAACTTCTTATTCATGTCAATATCTCCTTTATTCCGGTATTAATTTGTAGCAACATCCCTTTGTTTAGAAACTTGTGAAATGCTTTTTTCAGAAGTCAAGATGATTTATACCACTGGTTCTATTTTGTTCACTGTTTGATTTAATCCTTAAAGAAATATATTGTAAGTCAGGCATTTCCTCTTGCACAAACCATTTGTTTTCTTTAACTTTTATGGAGGGTTGGTAGGAGTGAAAAGTCATGTTTAAAGTAGGACCTACAGTTTATAAATCCCAGGATTTCAGGAACATCCTTGTGGATTCATATCCGCACTCTGTCACAACTTGGATGTGGTGGTCTTTTGAAATGATAGGTTTCATTGTTTGACCAAGAAGAGTTCCACAATTTTGCCCTCAAATGTCTTCAAAATCATTGATTAGATCTTAGCCATTTAAGATAATATGTGAATATCTAGTTTGTTAAATAGGATCTGAGAGATCTTTTTTCTTTTCACTGGTATTTTTTCTAAAAATGCTTATTTGTCTAATTCAGAAGATACACAGTGAAATTAAAATTTCCCTAATGCCTTCAGCAGTGAATAGAGTCAATAATTCCATCAGTCTCTGTTAATTCTTTCTTATCCCTAAAAATCGTTTTGATACTGTATCACCAACTGGCTCCATCGTTTAACCAACTTACTTTAATTAAGATGAAAAAGTGAATCCTGTGATTGAAGAGTTATGATCAAGGTGCATGTAGTGCTTGATAAGTACCCTTTAATGGAGTTGATGAGCACCGTTAATTGAGGAAAAATACCTTTATGGGACTCGGAATGGGCTGCATTTATACTGCCCATGTTTTCTGCTCTTTTTACACATTTTCATCCTATTTTGTAGCTGGATAGAAGATTTGTTCACTTTAAAACCAAAACTAATAACTGACCTTGCTCGCAAAACATCCTCGGAAAGTATTTCCATGTGGCCCTCAGAGCAAACTTGCAATGAGGCTGCCATAATCATCAAACAGAAACAAAGTTCTCTTGATTAAACCAAGGCTGAAATAGAAGACTCCTCTGTCCACTGTCAGACACCTAAGGGGCTCTGTGTGTGTGTGTGTGTGTGTGTGTGTGTGTGTGTTGGAGGGAGGGTGTATGGTGTTATAAAGGAAAGAAAAGTTGTTCATACTCAGCAAACAATTTACTGAGTTCTGATGCCATGCCAGGCAGTGTATTCTATGGTTTATTTTCTTCTCACCATAGTCCTCTAAAATGGGGATTATTATCATCATCACCATCATCATCACCATCAATTTCCAGTTGGGAAAAGTAAGCCTCAAAGAGATGAGCTGAGCTGCCCAAGGTCATGCAGCTAGTGAGTAGCAGAACTAAGATTCAATCCCAGATACCCTGACCCACTTCGTTTGCTTCTTTAACACTGTTTCACAGCTTCCTCTAAGCAGAGAACAGCTGGTGGGCAGTGATGGAGGGAACAGCAAGATGGACTTTACTTCCAGCTTCCAGCATTTACTAATATTTTAAAAAAATTCACTGAAATAGGGAAATTTATCTCCATGGGACTCCGCAACTGATATCCTTACCAGAGACGTGGCATATGAGCCAAACTCAGTCTTTTTGTTCTTTCCACATCTGTTTTTAGAAACATGGCCTTTGTCTTCGTTTATCATTGATGCTGTACTTCTAAAAGGGATTGAGGGCGATGACTCATGTTTTAATCTTTATCAGTGTCTACTGGGGAAATATATAGCAGAATCTGTTAGTCCATTATGGTAAAATGTCCTTGTGCATTAGAAATGACTTGTTTCCTTTCAGATATCTTCAAGTACGTCCCACCCCGAGGCTCCTTCAAAACAGTGTCAAGCATCAGCCTTGTTTCAGTTTGCAGAGGTATGGCCTTCTCTTTTTAAACTACACGTTGAGTTCAGAAAACTTACGGAGCTCTGGAAATAGCGGAATGGGGTTTTATAACGTAAAGTGAACTTGAGGCATGCCTCTTGCCATTACGAATATAATACATATGGCAGACTGCTTATTGTTTTCTCCTGCCTTTGCTGTGATCATAGATCAGCTCTAGTAGTGAAATTAGATGCTGGAGTGGATGAGTAACTTTCACAGTGACTGCACTGGTGAATACGACGTGTTAGGTCATCAATGCTGAGCTTTTGATGTGGTGTAGCTTCAGCTGTATTGGCCAGTATTTTTATTAGTGTTTAATCCCAGACTTAGGTTGGGTCAGCTCTTGCAGGATCTCTCATTTCTTCAGTTTGTCAGCCAGAGAGAGCACACAGTAGAGAGCATCTTCTTGGTGTGATGAGAAGGCAAATCTGATATGCTTGATTTTACCACAGAAGCCCTGACCTCAACCATATGCTCATTTCTAAGGGGCACTATCTGACAAATGACAAAATGTATCCTGTTTGTGAAAATAAGATGCCATCTGCTTTAGGTCTTTCCTCATTTTCCTTTTTATTAATTTCAACCAAAAATGCATATCATAAATTAAGCATTTTTTATAGGCTTGAGAGAAAATGACAAGCAGGGCTGTTTTACTTAATATTGATGCATTGAATCACTTTGATTCGTTTGCATAAAGAATGCTGCATAAATGAAATGTAAAGTGATATCCTTTTGCCAGGAGAAAACCCAGCATCTCGCTTTGAAAATAAGAAAAAATTACTTTTAGCTCTTACATTAAAAAGAAAAACATGCTGCTTCCTCTTGGCGCACCTGTGTCAGCCACCCTGACTTGATCCCACCAGTTGGCCTGCAAATCTTTAGGCTTCTCTGCCACAGTATTTGCTTTAGTTGAGGGCTATTCTATAAAACTGGTAACCAAAACATCATAATGGTATCATTTCACGAAGAACAATTTGCTTGATGAATCTGAATAAATTAAGATTTTATCATAATTTTTCATTATGATAAACAAGCTGCTGTTTTCACTATCTGGGGAATAGTTTTAATATTTCCTTGCTTTCCTCCAGTCATTGACATCCATTTACTTGATACTAA